ACTTCCACTCAGAAATCGGAGAAAGAAATTTTCTTTACGCAGATTTTGTAGATTTTTCACGTGTTCATCATGCACAGTGCGTCACCAGGTGTAAAAAAAGGCATATGTACCTAAACTGTGGAATTTGATATTGTGAAGCGATATCGCAGCAAAAGGCACTCCCATATACTTGTCTTTCTGGTGTATGAGAAAGATACACAGTAGTGTGGTTCGTGAAATCCACGAGCAACTTGTGCTTGTTGTAGCTCTACAAAACTTCGAATTTCTTCTCGTTGGTTTGATGGTGGAACCGTGAACTGTAGAAATTTTTGCAACATCTCATTTGTCATTTCGCCTGAGCACCATTACGCTTCTCTTATTCTGTACGGCCTTTGCCTGTCCCTTCTTTAGTTGGTGCTACATGATTTCCACAGGTAAGCCTCCCCTATCCCTTCTACACGTCTCGATCAAATGTATTTTTCTCTGCAACAGACCTTCGGAAAATTTGATACTAGTGCATCAATTGTTGATAAAGAGCTGTCGGCCCTCATCTAGTAAGTCATTCATTGGACCCATCACAACTGTGTCTGTCATTAGCCTAGCGAGCATGGGGGTTTGTCTGCACCTGCCCGTGGAAACGTGTTGTACGTGGTGTCCCCTACACTGCGCTGTTTAAGCGGCTTTATTCAGAATCTGTGCCTTTTGATACTGCGTCAATTAGGCAAAATTGAGATTTTTCTAAGAAGGAGAAATATTTTTCAAATAAATGACAAAAAGCAAGCTCTTTCAAGCGGCAAATGAAATCTCTACGCGTAGCGCCATCAGAGTGAGCGCTAATTTCGTTACTTATTTAGAAATATGCTGAAAATTTTGGATTTTTCTGGCAATCTATTACAACACGATTGCCTCTATATGCTCTTATGATTTTTGACGCATATATGTTCCCATGTGCGAAGAAGCTCTGAGGGCGAAAAGTAATTTTTTTTTACTCTTACAACACCTCAAATATCTTTTTGCAACATGAAAATAGTTTTAAAACTGCCGTTACGTGTCCTATCAATTTACTGCTGAATGATCACAAAGCTATCCGAAGACCGTAACTGAGCCAACAAAGCAGACTTTATTCGTTATTACAGCACACTAAGTCTTCTTTTTAATCAACTAAGGAATCGCAGTCGCAAAAATTCAAGCTATCGAATGGTTACCAGAACCCTAGAGAAAACTTTTCCTAAGGAAGAAAGCTTGGTCAAAAAGGGTTTTTTAGGCTTCATTATCGATAACCTGGCCTCGCATGCACTGTGCAACATCTTTTTTGACAAACTATTCATTGTTTTCCAATCTTTAATTACTATGTTAACTTTTAATCAATATATATGATGAAATATATCAAAACTGATACATTTAAATCACTATGTTCCTTGTACAAATTAACACAATTGATAGAATGCCAAGGTCACTGGGATTCAGCAGTAAAAGAGAGGCTTTTAATCAAACATAAATGTTATATTTGCGCCAAAAGCTTTCGAGTATTTGAAAAAATCGCGAAGTTTTCAACTGTTACGAGAAGTTCTAGATTTACTCTCAAAAAGATGAAAAAAACCCTGATCAAATAACAAAAAATTGCTCATCGGCTGCGATTTGCACTACGCATACGATTACAGCTGGTGGTCCTGAAAAGGTTAAGGGCATCCGATTTGGAAAGGTGCCCCCAACAAAGATGTCACAAAATGTGTAATACTGTCTCACTAAATTCAAACATATTTCCACGTAATATCATATGCTTTTATATTGCTTGACCCATCAGAGACCAAGTGTACACTTAATTGTTCACTGGTTTTTTTTGAGGTTTCTTCGTCAGGTACGGATTTCGAAAGAATCGTGATTTTGACAGTTGACAGGATTTCTGGAAAGGCTTTCTTAGTGAGCTGTTGGTGAGCTGCAGCAACAAAGAAAAAATAATGTTACGTTTTCAGAGTGCATAATGTGTTTTACACTCGCCTTTGCCTGGGTCAGACAAGGCCTTTTTCGCTAGAATTTTGGTATATTCCAATGGTTTGAAAGAGGCAATGCTAAGCCTAGCTTATCTTATGAAAAGGCATTTTTAATGAGCTGTAACAACGACGAAAGTTTTATGTTTCACACACCTGCGTAATTCCTGCCTTGCTAGAATCTGCGCTTGATTTTCCAGTAATTTTTCTGTGTACTCCACTAGAATTCCTTTTATTCAATCGTCTTAAGCGGTGGTATCGTGTAGAAGAAAGAGTGATGACAGAACAGGTGCACCCGGTGAGCACGCATCTCGGAAAAGGTAAAACGCAAGGTCGAGTCCCGTTGAGCGTATTAAGTTTCACATATCACTAAACATATTGAACATGTATTCCCAACAATATTTTGGTAGCTCAAATCTTGACAAATCCGAGTGTATAATTGGGTTCCATGAAGGTCTTCAAAGAGCATAGTAAGATTGAAGAAAAGAGTCCATTCTGTTCTCAGAGTAAATAACCCGTGGCTTTAGCTTCCCAAACGGTTTCTTATGAATAGGAAATAAAAATGAAAATAACTGTGGAACAGTGCAAAACCTCATCTATAAGTACGTGAAACTTTGTAATTTTATCGAAGCGGTGAAAAGATTTCTCAGCAAGTAATCAGATCATGTTCTTTGACGGCGGTAGTTGAAATTGCTGCGCGCAGCATGATGCGAGCGAGCGTATGAAATCTGGAGCACAATTTTGCAATTTGATTGCAGATTTTTTTCTGTTTGAGTTTTCTAGATTTCCTGGAATCCTGACCAACCAGTGCTTCTTCTACGCGCTCAAATGTTTTTGTTGCATACATGAGTATATGCACAAAGAATAATCTGAAGGTGAAATATAATCTTCGTGCCTCTTTTAAAACGCACTAGGAAGGCCTTCTAAAACCCAAATTCAGTTCCAGACTTAAAATGATTTATTAAGGCCCACTAATGGAAATGTAGAAAGTTAACTGGTGAATTTCTGAATTTAAGCTGTAATTGTATAATCTCTAAGAAGTCATTTTCACTATTGGATGATAGAATGTCACAGGAAGAAAACTCTTATGAAGGTTCCTTTCAGTATAAAGAACGCCCATGTGTCGAAATGACCTATATCTCAACAAGAATATCACATGTTTGAGAAGAAAAGTATTTCCAGCTGTAACAAAATGTTCATTTACACTAGTTTCTAGTTTGGGTCTATGTCCTCGTAGCTCTTTGATAGCTTGAGAAACACCGGTTTTCGTAGTAAGCTTTGCTTGTAGAATGACCGTTATATTACGTTTTACTTGCGGAAAAGCTACGTTTTGCTTTTACAGTGCGTTGTCCTAAAGCCACAGTGTATTTTCAGTTATTCAATAATGAATCCTTGACGATAAGCAAACTTTGTCGCTAGAAAACTTAGATTGCTGGTGGATGAACTTATGTAAACATATTTTTAGTAAAAACGACTCCCATTTCTCCTAAAAATCTCCATTTTTATTATGAATTATGTGGAATGTTTAGGCACTGTGATGAATGTATTAGTGCTGCCATGGTTTTTTCTTTTTTGAAAGGGATTTTCGTTGGACTACTTTTTCGATAAATTGAGAAGTGCTGATTTTAATAATAAGCACCGACTTACTTTTAGCGTCAGCATTAGCGGTCAACAATTTTCTTTTAAGATTAAGTCCATGAGGTTCATAAAAAATTTACTCGTTTGTTGCTTCAGTGTATTCTTCTTTAGAGCCTCTCTGAGTCGTCTGCTCACAGTCGTTTTGCTAAGATAGCCTCTTTCTATTGCTTACAACATTTGACAAGAAAGTATATAGGCAATATGTAATGCTAAAATAAATTACTTGGCAAAAGCTTCGCAGCCTGTTTCAGCGCTGAAAAATTTGAGAAGTATTTAGAGGACAGCTTATGGATAAATATTTAATGACCATAATGGATTTTTACGATCCTTGACATCAGCAAAAATGTTCACTTGAGAAAGAGTTGGGCTTTTCCTTTTTCATTTCTAGTTGAAAATTTCCTGATCGTCGCCCTGTTTCTGCTTGTCACAGCTATTTCACAAATTTGTTGATCATCGCAATGAACTGGAAAAAATGCGAAAAAACGGGCATTGCTGTAACTGTCATTTTGGCGCGCATAAACTAACAACATACTCTGTTTTATGCTTAATGAGGCAATTGCATAAAAGTTAGGAAGTTTTCGAAGAGAATATTGACATTACCTTTCAATCGTTTTTCCTGAGATCGCTAAAACATTTGATATGTAATATGATAGAATGTTTTGGGCTTTCCAGAGGTGTGGTATGACATCTGTAGTGTAGACCATCGGCTTTCGCACATGCCCCACCAGCGCCACATGCCATTCGGCTCTTCATTCCTACTATTACTAAGAATCTCGCCTATGAAGTATCACTCACGTTAAGTGGAATGATCACTTGGTATTGCGTTTTTTCGGAGTGATTGATTGTCGATTACATGGTTTACGGCTGTTACGGAGCATATGTAACAATACTTTTCGATCGGCTGTTTTGAGATCTCGCTCAAAAATTCAGTACCTAAGTTTCAAAGAGACTTCAAACACTTGCACGCTTTATAATTTGAAACTTGCTCACCATGGAGTTTCTTTTGCACCGGCCAAAATTCGCTTAGTACCGTATCATGTTGGAATTTAATGGAGCAAGATTTAGCAAAAATCGTCGTCGCTCAGTAACTCAGCTGAAACAATGCGGAACTACTGCTGCGAAAAAGTGTTACGATACCGAACTGCTTATTCGGCACTAATAGACAGATGTAAAATAAATCATAACATACCCGATAATTCTAGAGCGCTAGAGGTGCCTTCGACTTCCCATGTGTGAAACGTACATCGTAATTTATTACGTTTCGAGTCGTGGATATCTCGCTAGAATATTGAAGATAAGCTGAATATCCGAGAATTCTCGTGTTTTCATTGCTTTCTTGCAGTGTTATGATGTTTCATTTATGCTCAAGAGAACTGAGTGGTGTGCATAAAACACGGCCTCAGACGGGAGTCGAACCCGCGTTCCATCAATACCAGGGACACGTGTTACCACTACAGAACCGAGGCAAATTTGCGCTTCCACTCATTCTTCAATCTTGCCATTATAACTATCAGTTAGCAATCTTTGATAGGTTTGGTGGGGAATGCGAATTTGTTTATATGCCCAGTTGAGCTGACAGCCATTGTGATGCGTAATACCCGAGATGTGTGTTTTTATTGCTTTTTCGCAGTGGCTGATAGCTATTGTAGCGAGATTGAAGAATGAGTGGTGGCAAACGTTCCTCGGGTGTAGCACGCGCTTCCGTATGTATAAAACGGGGGTTCGACTCCAGTCTAAGATCGTGTTTTATGCTTACCACTCAGTTCACTTGAGTATAGATGAGCTGAATCTTCTACCATGTAATCTAATCCACTAATTACTCTAAACTGGGCTACGAGAGAGAAGAACGGTTTTGCAGGACATTTTTATTTTTCTTGAAGAGCAACAATTGACAGAAAGCTCTCAAATATCTTTTGTCTAAGCCGTACTATGCTTCGCGGTAACTCTTCAAACTGAAAAGCATATTTTAGTGCTATCTGATCGTGGAATTTTGAAACTGCATCAAATGTAGATTTGCACAGCTATCTTTCTGCTGTAACCTGTCAATTTTGCTCCCCCGGAAATCTTCAAGAAGTTAATAAGGTTAATGAGACCTATTGGGTATTCTCTAAGAAAAAACAGCATTCCGAAATTTTCAGGTAACCTTCCCAAACGTGCACTGCCAGAAAATTCACTATAGGGTCTTCAATGTTTATACAGAACAAGGTTTTATTGCACGGGATATTCAGCAATAAATCTGTTGATACTTCTCCATCATCATCACCTTGTTTTACCCTCCTAGAAAAAAAATGATTTCTATTTCTTTTCAGCGTTTTAGCAACCGCTCTATAGCTTGGGTCTCGAGATTTTTGAAGATGCACCTATGTTTGAAATTACCTTTTTTTTGCGCTGTAACAATCAAAAAATTATGTTTCACTTCATTTTCGCTCGACAATTTCGCTTTCGCCTTCGAAGTGCCTTGCGTACCTCGCTGTCGTTTATACCTGGATTTACAGTAGATTTTCAGTAATCTTTATAGTAGTTCAAAAGGCGTAATGTAGCAAGGGAATTAAGATCGCGTTTTGTGCTCTGAGTAAACAGCCCGTCGCTTCAACTTCACAGTGGGTGTACTGGTAATTTGTATAGCGAAATTCGTACGCTGGAGACAATTTATGATAAAAATGAACTTTTACTAAATGCCTTATGCGAAAGTCTTTTTTGAAAAAATATAGAAATCGCACTTATTTTAAAAAGTCCCACTTTTCAAGACGGAGGCCACACCAAGGTGGAAACAACGTATCGCCATTTCCACCAAATCTCTGGCAGTATGCAAAAGTTCAAGCTAGGAACACATTTCCTCCAATGTATGACTTTCTAAAATGTGACTTTTAGCGGGCAGCCGTAATGAGCCTTCGTACATATCACAATCATCAATTTGTAGAGCACTTCTTTGGAGGACTAGGATATTTCTAAGCCAAATTTTTCAAACCTTCCAATGATGTTGTTGATCTTTTGTTCAAGAAATTTATTCAGCAAACAAAAATTTATATAACAAGCATCAATCATTAGCAGTACACTCCAAATATCAGTACCGCTCAACATTCACCGACGTTACATAGAATTTTGCTTTTTTACACTCAGCAATTTATGCGCTTTAAGACAGTAAGTGTAAATTCCCAAAATAATCATATCTCACTCCATTATTGTCTGCAGGATTAATAACATAATTTTTCGGCCCAAACTATACATCATGTCGAGCGCTGTAATGTTAAGAATAGATCTTCGATGAGCAGTATTAGAACAAGATATACAAAAATAATGCCTAGAGTGACTGCTCCTCGTGTTTACTGATTTAGTTTTGCTTTGGATATAAGCAATACTTACAGATAGCGTCGATTTTCTATAAGATCCAACATAACGTCCAAAACGTGGCTAAGTGACTTCTAGAATACGCCTGGGAGTCGGATGTTGAGCGACATTGTCCTGTATACTTTTGAGATAGATTTCTACCTTTTAAAAGGTGAACGGAGTTTTTTTTTCACGCAGTCTTTGCAGATTTTCTACGGTTTCATAAGACAACATATACGTCATCAGGTGAAAGAAAGGCGGATGCACCTAAACAGTGAAATTAGATATTGCGAAGCGAATTCGCAACGAAATGTGATCCTATTTACGTCTTTCTGGTGTATGAACACAATAAGCAGCAATTTAGTCGATGAAGTCTATAAGAATATTCTGCTTGTTCTAATTATGCACGCCCTCAAATCTCGTCGTTGGGTCGATGGTGTGACAGCGCGCTGTAAAAATTATCACGAAATCTCCCTTGTCATTCCGTGAGAGCACCACTACGCCTTTCTTGCCCTGTACTGCCAATACGCACCTCTTTTTCAGTTGGAGTTGCATAAATTCATTAGGTAATCTTCGCCTACTCACACTGTACGTCCTGACCAAGTGCATTTTTTTCTGCGACAGATCTTCGGCAAGTTCAGCACTAGTATGTCCATTAACGGCATAGAGGTGTCGGCTTTCATCCAATAAGCAATCTAAGGTGTTCATCACAATACTGTCTAAGATTCGTACGACACGCATCGAAGTTGTGCCTGTATTTGTGTATGGGAATGTGTTGCACGCGTATCCTCCTAAACTGAACAGTTTAAGCTGTTTCATCCCGTATCTGTGTTGTTGCCGCTACGCCAATTACTTTATACTAATAAAATTTCCGAGACGGAGAGGAATTTTATAAATAAATGACAAAAAGCGGATCTTTTGGAGCGGCAAATGAAATTTCTGCGCACAGCTTCAACAAGGTAAACACGATGTCTATTATTTACTTAGAATTTATTCTGTAGCAAGAAAATGTCCACATTTTTTCGATAATTTAATTCAACACGATTACCTCTACATGCGCATGTGATTTTGATGCATATATGTCTTACGTGCGAAGATAACTCTGAGGGCTAAACCTAATTTTTTTTCTCACAGCATTCTGTGTTTTGTGATCTGTGCTTTTTTTTGTGCGTAGCATTTTGCAACAGGAAATTAGTTCTAGAAGTGCCATTGAACAATGTTTCCAACAGTCTGCTGAACTTTCAATGCGAAGCTATTCGCAGACCTTAACCGAACGAACAAAAAAAAACCACAAATGAAACACAACTTTGTTTTGGCTGTTACAATGCACTGAAAAACCATCTAAGAAATGGCAATTGTTCAAGCTATCGAATGACTGCTGAAAGTTTGGAGAAAAGGCTTTCTCCATCGAAAGAGCTAGATCCCAAAAAGGGCTTTTACGTTGAATTATCGATGAGCTTTTTATCGATGACCTGGCATCGCATGCACTGTGCAATATCTTTTTTTGGTAAGATATTCATTGTTTCCCGGTTTCCAATTAATAATATAACTTTCAAGCATTGTATATAATCAAATATAATAAAACTGATACATTTACATTATTGTATTCTTTTTACAAGCAATTACAATTGATTGAATGATAGCATCGATGTGATTGCGTAGTAAAAGAGAACTTCTTAATCAAAAGCAAACATTATATCTGCGCCGAAAGCATGCGACTGTGTGGAGAAAGTCACGGTGCATCAAACTATTACAAGAAACCCGCTGCGATTTAAAGTGTGCGAGGCGATTACAACTGGTGGTCATGAAAGGATTAAGCTGCATTCGCGCGACAGGCTGTTAGCTGTTGAAATGAATCGATATTTATGATCAAAATCGATCTGACGAAAACGCCAACACCACCAACGCCTCTGTGAACGCATGTCAATAGATCTTCTACAGCGGATTCGTGTGCAAGTGTTCGTGCGTTGTAGGTACAGATCGTCATTTCAGTCCGTTTCAGGTTTGGCAGCCTAGTTTCCTAGTTTGGTTTTGAGATCTTAGTAGCTTCTTTGGATTCGTCGTATCCGACCCTGTCGTGTCGGGTCTCTATAGGGGTCAGAGGAGTGAGGCCTAATTTTATCACTGTTTCGAGCGCTTTTTGTATGCAAAGTATAGCTTGGTAGGCTCTAAACGTGGTGGCTGCGTTCTCACGAGTAGCTCACCGGTCTCCATCGGAGGAGTTGGAGGCGACTTTCAACTGCCTCCCAGGTACTCTCCAGCCGCTTGATTGCAGGCTTGTGGCCAGTTTGACTCGTAGAAGTAGAATTCTGTCAGTTTGGCGTTGCAGAAGCAGGGAGCTCATCCCCTAAGTCCGCTCCCGTTTCTGGGAAGCATACGGCGGCTTTTGGTTCGCGTTAATTTTTCCTAGTCACCACCTGGGAATATGTCGCGTGTCCTCGCGGCCGATCGGACGAGATCACTTAAAGAGGTAGATCCTTTACGATGCTACAGCTTGGTTGCGAAGCAGGACCAGGCGTCGGAGAGCAGAATGTTGCCATATGAGCGTCGTTACGGCTTCCGCCGGCCGTGGCATCCAATAGGCATTTTGTTGAATGAGAGCCACGGAATGTTTTGTATGATCTCAAGCCGTTTAACGGCCGTGAAAAGTGAGTAAATACGGTACTGGATACCTTGCCCTCAGTGGCGAGCCACATATAGCCAAATGTGATATGCTCCGCCACTTTATCAAATGCTCCCACTTGAAAATAAAGCCCCACTTGTGAACGGCAATTTAACAATCAACTACAACGATGTGACACTGTTTAGAAGCAGTGCACCGCAGATGATCACGACCAATCAATAAATGAGTCAATTCTGAGTGATAATGCGTAACCAGTGGAGTGCCTGGGTGGTACGGCACAGAGAGTAGGAACGCGATCGCCTTTAATGGGCAAGGAGCGTCGTGTCTCACTGGTCGGTATTGTCGATCTGATTGTCGTAAGCCGAAGTAATGACGAAATAGCAACAAAGTAATGCAAGAGTTGCTACAGCCTGCACCCCCGGTAAGGATGAAATGCGGGGTTCATCTCCCTCCTATAATCGATTTTTTGCGTACCAATCAGTCTGAAACAACTCTTAGATCTTTTCTGTTGAGGCG